TTCATACATACATACATACATACATACATACATACATACATACATACATACATACATACATACATATATATATATATATATATATATAATTTCTCTTCTAAAACTTTAATCAATCATTAAATAGCTGAAAACATCTCTTGTATGAATTACTAAGATCCGTTTCACGTATAGTTGCATAAAAAGAAAATATTCTAAATGCTTTCTTCACAAGTACATATAGGATCTAAAAATTTAGCTTAAACTGAAAAATTGTCGTTTCAAGGGTGAGAAATTCACACTGTGTATTTCACGAACATTGTTTTGTATCTTAAACAGTTATGCATTGATTTGTGTTAGGTGGGCAATAATAAAGGATGAAGGTGTTTACAGAAGAATGTTAACATACATGGACTTGAGCACCTATGGTGTTTCTAGAGAGACTCAACTAAGAGTGCTAAAGCTTTTAAAGGTAGTCCTCAGTGGAAATGGAAAAGCAATGTATGAATTCGGATACAACACAATGAAGAACCGATGGAGTAGATTGAACAAAGTCTTGTCTCGATCAAAAAGATTTTCGACTCAAAAATTAAAGCCTCAATATTGTTTATTTTCCCAGCAAATCAGAACACCTTCTCCGGGTAATTTCCTGTCTTTTAAATTCAAAACAGAATGTGCTTAGGTGAATCAAACTCAGGTTTAATACATTTATGTCATTTAATATACTCCAACCGTTGAATTATATTATAATTATAATTTTTTTATTCTTAATTACTATTGAAACTTTTAAAAATGATTATGATAACTAGGGAAAATGAAGATCTCCGTTGTTTTAAAAAAATAATAATATATAATAAAAGATGATGAAATGAGAGAATGTAAACACCAAAACTACATATTACCTTAATCAATTGTTATAGGTAATTAATAATAATAATAATAATAATAATAATAATAATAATAATAGCATGTATTCATCTTATTTAATAAAACTTATATTTTTACATATTTGATAGCATTAACCCTTATTAATCTTAAAATGTCAGTGTATTAAAGTAAATATTGTTTTTATTCCTATACGTACGTAGAAATGTTTAATCTAATGTTATATGAAAAATTCACTTATGCATATAACAAAAATGTTTCAATTGTTTAATATATATTTGAATTTATATATAGACATCAATGGTTTCGAACACACGGTATTTAAAGGAGTCATATTAAACTTTTACACATTACTTGTTAGATAGGTATGAATTTAGAACTTAATTGTTTACTCATTTATAATTTAACTTTTTTTTTTTATTGATCGACACTGATTTTTAAATTTATTAATTTAATATTTAATAGATATTTTCACATTAAAAGACGAGGGAAAAAGTAAGATCGAACCGAAGAAAATAAAGAATTAACATAAAAATTAGATAGTGATAATAATTATATATATATATATATATATATTAAGTAAATAAATTTTCTTTTATAAAATAACATTATCATTGTATATATATGAACTTTTACACTCAAGGCTATAAAATTCAAACTTAAAACATAATGGAAAATTTATTAAGTCAAGTTTAATTAAATAATTCACTAACAATATAATTCACTAACAATTTCATATTGATGTTATTAATTGCAGCTTTTGCGTGGTTGAAGTGTGAAACATCAATATTAGAAGGTGGTTCTTGTTATGAAGTTCTGAAAGCACATAACATTAGTGGCAGGGCAGGTAGTTTATTTGGTGTTGATAATCACTATGTGCGTCTTAGCTTGGTTAGGAGCGAAGACGATTTCGATTTATTGCTAAGGCAGATCAACAACCTAGTTTCTCTGAAAAACAATCATAAACGTGTTACTACGACTTCAACTCGTTTATGGCAAAGCAATGAGTCTACACTAATGTTGCCTCGTGATTGTTCTTGGAACAGATCATTATTGGATTTGAGAATCAAATTAGAGACTTTGTACTCCAATATAGTTCGTAGCCATGCTAATATTGGTCTTTCTTTTGATTTGAAAAATTTGTAAATTAATTTGTAGAGATGTAATGTACAATGATCTTATCAATCGAAAATGATGTTTACTACCACTACAAGAATGTTTCAATTTAGAGTCGGCCAAAAGCCGACTCTAAATCATAAAAGCCGACGCAATATTGTCGGTTATTCGTCGATTTTTTGCCAACGCTAAATAAGTCGACACAATTTATTTTTTGTGTCGGCTAAGCCATCACTAACAAATTTATTTATTTTAATTTTTTATTATCGGTTAAGTCGACACTATGTTGACACAAATTTTATTTTATTTTTTTCTCGATCCGTGAACCTTGAGGTCTTAAGTGAACTTGATAACCAAGTGTACTAGAACACATTATGCATATATAACATTGGAAAAATTATTTTTATCTCTCTGAAAGCACGTATATTCTTTAAATATAGCGTCGGCTTTTCCGACACTAACTATATTTAAATCTAAATTAAATTAGTGTCGGAAAAGCCGACGCTATATTTAAAGAATAGCGACGCTAAACTTACAATAAATTTAAATTAGACATTTTAAGTTTAGCGTCGGAAAAGCCGACGCTATATTTAAATAATAGCGTCGGCTTTTTCGACGCTAAACTTAAAATATTTAATTTTAAATTTATTTTAAGTTTAGCATCGGAAAAGCTGACGCTAAATCTTAAAAAAGTTGACACTATTTGCATCAGCTATTAGCCGACGCTTATTTTTCGCCGCTTATTCAGCGTTTTCTTGTAGTGGTATACATAATACTTACAGCTTGTTACTTTCACTAACCGTGTTTTTCATTTTTTTCCTTCTCTTGAAAAACGGTTCATTATTCAAATTTTTTATTTTAAACTTTAGATTAGTTCGTGTAAAATTAAAATCCACATCGGCCAAGGATTGGGATTTCGATCCCAACTTATGATATAACATCTCTAATGTTTCTTCTTTGGTTGTTCAATGGTTCCTTCCAAAAATCCTCATTTATGTCATGCTCCAAACGAGGTCTTCATAGCCTTAGTTCATTCTTTGTAATTTTCACCTTGAAACTAGAGTTAACTGATCATACTTCCTAGGTTATCACTTGATCTCAAATCATATGAAGATGGTGTTTTCTTCACTATTTATGTGTGTTAGTTAGCCATTATTTGATAAACATTTCTTAATCAGATTTTGGGAGTTTTTGATACCAAATGAATGTAGAGAATCTGATTTTGCTATTCTATCTTTATTAGAAACCAAAGAGAATATATACAAGTGTAGAGAAAAGATAGATACTAGAAAGGGGGTTGAATAATGTATTTAAAAAACTTTCATGTTTTCAAGTTTGTGAAGTAATATCTGCAACAGCCAAAGGGTCACTAATATAATCAATAAAACATAGTACTTTTATGTTAGTTCACTTCAACTATTGAGGTTACGTCCAATTTTCAATCCAATCATATTGAGTTCTATTAACTTTTAACTAAGTTATAAGTATTTTTTTTTATCAAGGCACTTCTGACTCAAACAAGTGTTCTTTGATTGATCTCTTCAAGCCAATACCCAAATATTATTTTACAGACAAGTCTCTTCATGTTCAAACCCAAGTATTCTCTTATAGACAAACTTGTCCAAGCTCAAACCTAAATATTCTTTTATAGTCAAGTCTTTTCAAACTTTACTTTATAACAATGTTCACTACAAAAAAAAAAGGATTTTAGCGACCACAAAAATCGGTCGCTAAATTGCTTAAATCGGTCGCTATTTACTTTAGCGACCGAATTAGCGACCGATTTGAAGTAGTTGCAAAAATCCTGGTCGCAAAGTTGTTTAGCGACGGAAATACTGGTGGTCGCTAATTAGCGACCGAAGGTTTCGGTCGCTAAGTGGTGACTACGATTATGGTCGCCATAGTATATGGGGACCAAATTAGAGACTGAAAAAAATGTCGCTAAATCGGTCGCTAAATGTGTTATTTATTTTTAAATTTTTAAATAATGATTTTCCTTTCCGTCGCTAAATCGGTCGCTAACATTTTTTAAAATAATTTTTTTTTTAATTTCAGTCGCTAAATTTTATTATTTTAAAAAATAATTTTCATTTCAGTCGCTAAATCGGTCGCTAAGTATGTTTTTTTTTTTTTAAATAATTTCTGATTCGGTTGCTAAATCAGTCGTTAAATTTTATTATTTTAAAAATAATTTTTGATTTCGGTCGCTAAATCGGTCGCTAAATTTTATTATAATAATATCATATCATATTTCACAAATCAACAATCTATAATATTTAAGAAAACGTTTCTTTAACAATCTTGAAATTCTTTTTATCAATTCAATATGAATTATAACAATATATGAAGGTAAAGAGAGAAATAGCAAAATGATCTATACTAATTCAGCCATACAAAGACCTACATCCGGTTTCAGACTTAGCTCCCCGCCAAATCTAGTCTTTCTACTATAATATTCTTTACAAACACCATGTACAAGAAATATTATAATTAGAAAACACAATCACCCACTACAAGAAATTTTGAAATTACAGACAACCAAAATCCGTGGGTAATCCAAAAAATTTGTGGATAACACTTCATTTCCGACGGATTACAGACGGACAATAATCCGTTGGAAAATTACTCTTCTGAAACATTTACCGACGGATTATAATCTATGGGTAACTTTCCGACGGGATTACTCACGAATTTTATCCGTGGGTATTGTTGATAATATTTAAAAAAATATTTTGAAATTATATTAAATAACATCCTTATTTAGTGCAACCATGTCTCATATCTAACCTTTCAGCAACTCCACTCCATGACACTTCACACAACTCCTCGTCGGTCATAACCCTTCACCAATCAGAGCTCTCTATGGGTAACCATTTTTGAGATATTCGAATGCTTTTAGGATCAAAGATTGACCTCACAAACCCCACAAATTAACACAAGACTTTTCAGCGTGCCTTGTTGTCACTTGCACATTTTTCTAGAAAACTTTCCAAAAGGTCACCCATCTCTAAATTATCTCATGTCAAGCACGCTTAACCGTGAAGTTCTTAAAGAATAAGCTACCAAAGAGTAGATGCATCTCATTGGTATAAATAGTACAAATTAATTCCTTTAAGTCATTTTCAACTATACAATCTCATACTTGTATAATCTTTGAATCTCTCTCATTCCAATCTATTTCACAAATTACAATATAATATAATACTATAATTTTTTATTTAAATTAAAAAATATTAATATTTTAGTTTGTGTATTTCACAAGTGACATTTTTATAAATTCAATGTTGACATTAATTTTCATCTCAGTAGACTCATGAAAACAAAAAACTTTAACCCAATCGTGGAAACAAAGGCATATTGAGAAGATGTTTCATGCTCCAACATTTAACTTATATCACCTAATATTTAATTCCAAAAATGCTAACTAATGATCTTCATTCACCATCAATCATAAACTAGTCTTTCTATATGTAACATCATTCATCCAAGAGCTACAAAATATATTTCAAAAAAGTACAACATAGAACTACGTAAAGTAAAAATAATAGGGTATGATTCAATCCTAAAGCAAGAAAAGATAAAAAAAAACAAAAAACAAAAACAAAAACAAAAAATAAAAAATAAAAAACACTAAATTGCATAATATAGCCTTCATAAGTGTCACCTATTATGAATATATATATGAACAATAGTTTCTTTATGATGAGTATCGCATGTAAGGAATCATATATCGTTGCTATTATTGGCTACTTTTGCTATCGAAGTCCATGAAGTCACAATGATTCTTCCTAGAAGAGGAAGCATTCCAACTTGTAGCTGGTGTTGTGCCTATTGGAGTGTAGAATTAGTCAACCATTGCAAGGCTAAATAGGAAGCCCAAATAATGGTTACCCAAAATAGCGCTAAAGGAGTACTCCATGCCCTAAGGCGTTGATGTTCTTCCATGAATAAATTCATGAGTTCTACAATCACATAGTGTAGCCATGTAAATATTCGTGAGTTAAATTTGAAATGAATAGTCTACCAGGTTTACAAATTTCAAGAAATATTTTGTTTTGAAAAGTATGCATTAGGATTCTCCAATTTTATCATGGATGATTAAAAAAAAAGGTTAAATTGTCATGCTTGAAGATTGATGATGTAATGTTCATAAGTGTAACCATTGAAGCTTGTTTATTAATTGAATCCAATAGTAAATGATTGATAAAGGGGGAATAACACATTCATTTTTAAAGGCATAAACAAATATGAAACTAGACATACCTTCATTAAGTTGATCTTGTTTGTCCAAAGCTTCTAAATACAATTGGTGTTTGACAAACAAATTTGCATATTCTCTCTGCACCATATTAGATAACTTATAAACAAAAATTAAAAGGCTTCAAATTATATTTAATATCCCATGACTATTTTTAAACCTTAAATATCTTTAGTAGTTCACTTTACAAATCCCTGACACTATGTAATCGATTATGACTTTTCATGTGCATCTAGAGCCAATGAGGTACACACGCATATCAAGCAAAGACCAATTAGTATTGAGGACTACACTTTGGTAATTTTGTTCTTATTTGTGAGATCAAAGTAAAATGCAACTATAAATTTCCATGAATAACCTTTGTTTATTTTAAATTTATGTAAACATCCTTGAGAATTTTGAAAATTTACCCAAACTTCCTCTGTTTCATTTTGTTTTATTTACCATGGTTCCAAAGAAAAAAAAAAGGTAAATCCATACAACTATAAATTGATGTAATGCTAGGGAGCTCCATTAAACATTGACAAGAAAGTGCAAGTTACCAAAAGTTAAAAGTCATGATCATAAAACAAAAAGGAAATGACATACGTCAAGCATGGTAATTTGGGAAGAGAGGATAGTTTCTTAAGTTCCTAAGAGATTGCATCTTCCTCTTTAACTTAGTTGCATGACGAATCTTCCTCTTCAACATAGTTGTGTAAAGAATCTTCCTCTTCAACATAGTTGCATAACGAATATTCCTCGACTTTGATCGAATGGTTGATTTCCTATTAGTAAAAATCTTGTAAACACATAACATTCAAAATCCAAAAATTAAATGGAAGGAAGAAAGG